CGTGGGGTTGATTTCACTGAATGGCGCTCTCTTTCGACGAAAGGATCTGTTCAAATGAACGGCATGGAAGTCCAGCGGTGTTTGCGAGGTCGAGTAGCCAATTTTGGTTCCATGCACTCAACGACCAAACACCGCTGGGCGTTCGTGAGCAAAGATGACCGCCGCCAAGTGTTCGGTTATACGAACGGCGGCCACCCATTAAATCAATAGACTTTTGCGGTTTATACAATGTTGCCACAGGCTGCTCACTGTTTAGTAGACATGCCCCTACTTGCGGTATAACGAGTAGGGGCATTCAAGAGATTTTAATCTCCCTTATGCTATTATGGGGGTCATATTGACCCCCATGGAGTGAGGGAGGACATGGGGGGGCTTAGCTTCTATCTTTACATTTTACAAGGACTGCTGTGCGCCTGTTGCCCCCTCCTTGTAATAAACTGAATGAACGGACAAACACTGATATTCAGTGTTTGTTTGTTCGTCTGACATTTCTTTTCATTCATTCGTCTTTCTGACAAATGAATGGATGAAACTCCTGTTCATATGGAATAAGAAGAGGTGAATAAGAAGAGGGGAGGGAGGGGAATAAGAAGAGGGAAGGGGGGGAATAAGAAGAGGTGAATAAGAAGAGGGAGGAGGGAATAAGAAGAGGGGAGGAGGGGAATAAGAAGAGAGGGGAGGGAGGGAATAAGAAGAGGAGAGGGAGGGAATAAGAAGAGGGAGGGGGAAGGAAGAAGAGGGGAGGGGGGGAGTAAGAAGGAGAAGAGATAAGAAAAAGAGGGGGGTAAGAAGAAGAAGGGGTTAGTAAGAAAAAGATGGAGTAAGAAGAGGAGGGAGTAAGAAAAAGAGGGGGAATAAGAAAAGGGGGAGGGGGGAGTAAGAAGGAGGGGAGATAAGAAAAAGAGGGGGGTAAGAAGAAGAAGGGGTGAGTAAGAAAAAGAGTGGGGAGTAAGAAGAAGAAGAAGAGGGGGGTAAGAAGAAAAAGGAGGAGTAAGAAGAAGAAGGGGGAGGAAGAAGAAGAAGGAGGAAGAAGAAGAAGGGGGAGGAAGAAGAAGGGGGGTAAGAAGAAGAAGGGGGGAGTAAGAAGAAGAAGGGGGGTAAGAAGAACAGGTGGGGGAGTAAGACGACCAAGGAGGGAAGTAAGTAAGACGACGCAGCTCCCCCAGCGGCTGCCAGGACAAGTCCGCCAGCGGCCGCCAAAAGACCTCCCAAGCGGCCGTCAGGACATGTCCCCCAGATGCCCCCAGAAGACCTCCCCAGCTGTAAAAGTCCCCCAGCGGCCCCCAGAAGACCTCCCCCTGGCAGGTATAAGTAATGTGTCTGTCTGTCTGTGTCATGGTGTCTGTATGTATGGTGTGTGTGTGTCTGTCTGTCTGTGTCATGGTGTCTGTCTGTATGGTGTGTGTGTGTGTGTGTGTGTCTGTCTGTCCGTCATGGGGTGTGTGTGTCTGTCTGTCCATCATGGGGTGTGTGTGTCTGTCTGTCTGTCTGTCATGGGGTGTGTGTGTCTGTCTGTCTGTCATTCATGGTGTGTGTGTGTGTGTGTGTCTGTCCGTCATGTTGTGTGTGTCTATCTGTCCGTCATGGTGTGTGTCTGTCTGTGTCATGGTGTGTGTCTGTCTGTGTCATGATCTGTCATGGTGTGTGTGTGTCTGTCATGGGGTGTGTATCTGTCATGGTATATGTGTGTTTCTGTGTCTGTCATGGTGTAAATGTGTGTTTAAAAATAGTGTTTTTGCTCACCTTTTTTTTCCCCACGCAGCGTGCTGGTCTCCCCTCGACTGGCCCTGCCTCTATAGCTGAGATCATCAAGCTTGATGATCTCAGCCAATCCAATGCTTTGCCATAGGATTGGCTGCAAAACGCCACTCCAATTAGCATCTCCTCATAGAGATGCATTGAATCAATGTATCTCTATGGGGAACGTTCAGCACCTACAGAGTGTGGAGGCCCTGAATGTAGGTGCACTAACACAGGAAGCACCTCTAGTGACCGTCTGAGTGACTGTCACTAGCAGTGTCACTTTGAAGCAATGTAAACACTGCCTTTTGTCTGAAAAGTCAGTGTTTACGTTGAAAAGCCTGTAGGGACATGCTATAGACACCACATTAAGCTGTGTGTGCGTCTGCTAGTGAGTGAGCTTGCTTGCATGCGTGTGCCTGCTAGTGAGTGAGCTTGTGTTTTTTAATGTCAATGAGCTGATGTATATCAGTAAGATTGTTTGTCTATGAGGCTGTGTATCAATGAGCTTGTGTGTGTCACTGAAATGTCAGTGAAATTGCCTGTGTCTGCATGTGCGTATGCTTACTGTATAATTAAACGTTTTACCCTGAAAGGACCAATATTTTATATTAGAAAAAGCAATATATATATATATATATATATATATATATATATATATATATACTCAATCATCTGTCCTGGCAAGACATAGCCTTACATATTACACGCGACAATATATGGCGCAGTGACTTATGGGGCTGGCACAATTTTTTTTTCCAGGGCTGCTTTGTATCCCCAGTCCGGCCCTGCTCCCTTTAGACTATGGCCCCATGTTGAAATGCTTGATTTTCCCCTGCAAAGACACGAAAACCGGGTCATTCAGTGCTTGCCCTGTTTGAGTTGTGATACCCCAGATAGCTATGCCATGGAGCCTATTCGTGTAATGAAAGACTATGGGAAAAACTTTGGCTCCATGGCAATTGAACTGTATGTGTTTGCTCTGAGCGCCATTCAGTAATAATGTGCGCTCAGATCTGAGCTATCTGGGGATATGTTGAATGTACCTGTCTCTCAGATTATTCTTTATACATACACCATGTGAAGAGAGCAATCTCGCCACATTGCATTGGAAGAGCCTGGTTGCCTGCCTGCTCCCTTTAGACTACAGAATAGCTGCACATCTATATATTTTTATGTATTTTGTCTTTTGCTGTGGTTAATGGAGTTTTGCCTCTGTCCTTGGAGATAATTGGATTACTTCCCAATTATCTCCAGGATAGAAGACTCTGTGGAACTGGTTTTGGGCAGAAAAGCCATACTTCATTTGGTCACAAAGGACTACGATCTATCTTTTGAACCACTGGACCAATTTGTATGATTTTGACGTATGTTTGTATTTGGAGTATGCTGATTCTGAAAATGTAAGTGAATTTATGTGAATATGATGCATACTTTTAAAATTATGAATAATGTGGGGAAACTATTTCTCTGCCTGTGATAATTACATTACCCATTGTGTAAGGTAATTGTATCACAGGCAGAGGGGAGGATTTTGTGTGGGAGTGTCTGAGTATATTGTACATGTTTATTGGTTGTTTTACAAAACCCTGTGGGTGGTACGAATGTGTATATAAGAACAATAAACCCACAGCTCTGTCTGTTTACTGCTTGACCCTCAACATGGAGCTTTGTCTTGTTCTTGGGGGGGATTTATTGTATGCTGTTCCAGTTCGACTGCTAGGAGTGTAAACCTTTCGTATGGTTTTTCCTATTCGGCTGTTTACCTCGTTCGTATGGTTTCCTGTTCGGCAGATTGGTGTCTTTGGTAGCTGCCTGTGTATCTGGAAGGGGAATATCCTCTAAACAGCGGTTTAATCCTTTTATTTCTGGGGGTATTGGCAATCATTACTTTGTTTCATTTACCTCATGTATGTATATTATGTTTTATTTCTTGTTTTTTTCTTCTTATAAATTTTAAATGACACTTAAGACATAAATACAACTTGTATTAAGTGATAACACTTTCTGCCATTAGGCTTCTCACAGGTGATCAGAGACTGGATCGCAGAGCTCCCTCCAAATCAACCTGGGCCCTAGCTGCTATCAGGAACTGGGGCCTCTGAATACGGGTGTGGGTGATCAAAGTTTTTTTTAATTCAATATCGCCCTTCGATACCAGACCAGTCCACGGCATCTGTAGTTCCAAACGTTGTGCCTAGAACCAGAGTCAGAACAATGCAACACTTGACCTCTGTCACTTTCTCTCCATGGAGACATACAAGTAGCAGGGGAAAAAGTGGGATGTCACCACAACTGCTAACTGTATGCATGTATCAGTGTATAGCTTTGTGGTGATATACAACAATGGCTGATAGCAAAGGGATGTTAGGCTGGATGGGTTTAAATGTTTGGTAAGCCTGAGGACCCAGCCAAGGGCAAGTGTGATCCAGGTTTTATCCAATAGCTCTGCAGGAATAAACGAAAAGTGAAGTGGTGTCTGTTGGTGCAGCACATCTGGGCGCTTCTGCAAATCTTGTGTTTTGTACTTTTAACTAATAAAGTTAGTCTGTTTTTGAAACTTTGTAGCGATACCTCAGTTCATTCCAAGGAAGACAGCGGCTATTCTTACCTGAAACAGCTTTTGGAAATGTTACATACATAAATATATGCATTTTACACAACATTTCCACAAATAATCAATATTCATTTCTAGCAAAACAAAAATATTTATTTTTAAGCCTTGTAACATGTTTTTGTCACTACAAATGAAAGTCCAAAAAATAGGACTGATGAAGAAATCGTATTTAATACAAGTTTTTTTTTTTTTAACAAATAAGAGTCTTAGAGTCTTTTCAAAAGAATGCACAAATCTTTTCAGTCAGATTTCGGCCCGATCATCCCTCCATATATTCCACATGTTGGTCACAGATCCGTAAGCTGATATTTCCGGATAATTCCATCTCTACAGCAAGTATAGACAAGTTTATCCATGGCTGCCACCTGCAAGACAGCACAAACAGGACAACGATAAGAAGAGCAGGGTTACAAATGACACGCATTGTATCAGCAGAGAAAAGTTAAAGGCTAGTTGTCTAACTCTTGGCTCCCTCATGGCCTTCAAGGACCGGAAATGTCTATGACATCTAATAACATAGCTAAACCTTGCATGTCCAGCTCTTTGGGAAGTCTTATTGTGTTAAAAAACCACAACTACTACCCAAGATTGCTGTGGGTAGGAGAGGGGAATTGCAATGGCTAAAGAACTCCCCTCTTAGCACTTGTTATGGTTATAATCAAGCAGAATATGTTGGTGACTTTCTGCTGTTAGTCCACTAAAGTGTCTCTGAGTTCCATTAAGATACAGGTATCACAGATAAATAATTGTACTTCCTATCTCTGACCTGGCAATTTCTACAAGCTAGCGCACACATTTTATTATTCTTTTCCTACCTCCTCATTCTTCCTTTTTTGTTTGGACTGTTGAAAACATGGTCATGAAATAAAAAGGTTTACATTTCTCAGAGAACTTGCCTCTAGTTTTTGCCATACTGACAGCCTTTAGAGCAGTTTCCTCCTAAACACCTTATACAATTGCATTTGGTATCATCGCCTACAAACGCGGCTAATGCTTCTCTATGAGAAAACAATGGATTGGCAGAACGCGGACATTGTCGAGCATCCACGTAACGAGGAAAAACCCTAGCGTTAATTGATAATCTTTTCTGTAAATACCACCCCTCGCTACGGACAGTAGAGTGGGGAGAAATATTCACATAACTGTACGGTCTCTCTGTCTTCCCCACAGTCTGGTACCGTACCTTGTATACAGGGTCATAGTCTGGTCCAATGAGTTCCAGAACCTGAGCAGAGTCTTGTTGTAAAACGAAACAGGTTCCATCACCTAAACCGAGGAAGCAAATCAGCTTTAGAGGTTTAAATGGATAAAATTATCAGAGCCAGATACATTCAGTTAGCAGAGTGATGCAAAGAACATGGGGGTTGATGGAGATAAATTGGTAGTAGCCTCCTGTGTTATAAAACCTACATTTTATGAAGGAATACAAGTAAAGACACTCTCAGGGCATTTTACTAAAGTGAGAATTCAAGGTGTGAATTTCATGTTTTAGGCCGAAGTTGCCAAACAGAACTAACAGAATGTTTCCAATTGGCCTGAAATGTAAAAAGCACGTTGAATTCGCACTTTCCTGAATAACCTTGTATGTTCTATTTCACTTACACTGAATTAAGTTCGATTTACATTAAGTAAAAATGGTAAAGTCTTATTAAATAAACGTCACCCTCTTTAATCCCATATTGTGTCTGTGAGGATACCTTGGCTAGCAATAAATCCTTCTCCAAAGGGCATCAAGGAAAGCACTGGGGCCCCTGACTTGCACAGAGTCTGCACTGGGGTCCTGTGAGAAATAGAAAACCAAAAAACTTGTAAAAACAACTTCTCACTATATGGTCCCCCCCATGAAAGCAATATTCAATGCTCACCTTGTATTCCTGACATCCAGTGTGTATATGTTACCATCCTGGGTTCCCGCCAGAACGCTCATACTGGAAAGGAAGGTGCAGCAGTTAAATGCATCGGATCCATCGAAGACAAATATCTGGAAAACAATCCAGAACACAGAGCACAGTAAATCTCCATCATCGCGTACGATATAAAATAGGGGTGACTAAAAGGTAGAGGTTCAGCGGTTACAGAACCACATCCCCCATGATGCATTGTGATTTTCGACCAGACCAATAAAATATATTAATGAAAGGTCTGCATCAGATAGACACACACGTTTTATTTCATGGATTGGACTGTCGAAATCACTAGCAAATATAAATATGGCTTTTGTATATGGGGTCTGGAAAATGTCTGCATCTCTGCAGAGTTTTGTACTTGCAGCGCTGCGGAATATGTTGGCGCTATATAAATAATTGTAACTGCTGTAAATCCAAGTTTACTGACTAAAACTTAAAGTGTCATTAAACATCTGAAACTAAATTCATTACAGTATGTGCATATGGAGAAAGGACAAATTCCACGAGAACATTCTTTAAAACGGACTCCTAACGACTGCTGTAAGGAGTTACATTTAGAAAAATCAGGTTTCCAGTAATCACAAGCCATGCTGAATGTATTATAAGAGCAGACCAGGTAAGTCGCATTGGGCGGTACTCACAGGCGTACGACTTTGCACACTCACTCCCTGCAGCTTTTTATCCTCTCGCGCCAGCAGCAATAACTTCCCTCCAGTCCCCACTTCGCGGTCGCCTGTGATATAAACACAAAGCACAATGCACGGTATTATAAGGGAAAACATGCTAAAATTAACCAAAATGTTATGTTAAAAATTTTCTTCTTTAATTTATTGATTTCACTATTATACATCAACCTATTTAATGACAACTTAAAATTCTATCACTTTTGTGCAATACTGGCTCCGAAGAAACATTTAGAAACATAGAATGTGACGGCAGAGGAACTGACACTTCGAGAAACGACACCATTCCATAAAACATTAAAAATCACCCAAAATATAACTTTTCTTTTTCTTGTGATGTGGTTTTTCTTTTAAAGACTTCGCACATGACATCATAATCCAGTTCAGACAAGGCACACCCAGGGCTCAGATTGCAAATGAAAATCGACCACATACCTCCACTCCCCCGTGGAGAGGCCTGGGATCGTGAATTACTGAAACACGAGGCTTCCCGGAACCAGAAGATTGTGGACTGTGGCACCGGGAGGACTCAATGAGCAGAACTTACTTTATAGTTTTTTTGGCTGTGACATAAATAGCTAAGATTTCCATGTCTATGTGCCTTATCTTTATTTTCCTGCAGATGGTGTGCTTCTTCCAGGGTAAGTCCTCCTAGATTCTATATGGAACTTAGCCTCAGTGTAATATACTGATACTCCCCTATGGGTCATCCTTGCATTAGGATAAGGTTATTTGGATAGCATGCTGTTAGCTAGGTTCCACTACAAGTTCATTTTATTGCATTTCTTGATTTTTTTTTGTTTCTGTCCTTATGTTGCCTGGCTTAATGTATGTCCTCTATTTTGTTTCGTGCTGTCTCTTGTGAAAGGTGGATCTTTGACGCAAAGTCCTGTTTATGTGCTCAAACAGATACTTGCGACTGCAGAACTGATATCTCATTTTTCACCAACACATGGTCACAACTTTTTATGTACTTCCCTTCAACATTTTCTGAATAGGGATCTTACTTTACGTTTACCTAGTTTCTGTCTCTGGATGATCTGGAGTTATGCTTGAGTCTTCCTAACACTTCGCAGCAAGTAGGACTTTCATTATTTCCTTAAACTCTTATTTCAGCATTTAATGAGGATTACTTCTGCATTTCACTCAGAGGTTCACTAGCTTTCTCTCTCGCTATCGCTGGGATATTTGGCACACTTATCTGAGTTATCAGAGTTTTTATCATTCTGCTCTATTGCTCACATGACTACAGCGACAGTTAGGGAATCAGTCACTGGAGAGGTGTGTCAAACTAATTGGTTTATGGAATTATTTTTAATGCAATTGTATTAGCTAATTTATGATGTCTTGCATGATCACTTCCGTTTTACACCCTATATATTGTGCTTCATGGTTTTGTATGGATGTCATGATAAAAGTCCACATGGGACTGAAATGCCAACTTGTTTTACACAATAAATGATTATTGTGCTACAAAGTCCTGAGTGCAACGTTTGCACTGAGGCCAGCACAAGAGCGGAGAGTGAGTGCCTGGCCCACGCTGGATATAAGAAAAAAAATAACTTTTTTTTTTTTTTTACTCTCTAACCTATTAAACACCTATATCCACCAATAAAGAAAGCTGATAGGGACCCAATGACTTACTCGGTGGTTCTTCATGGGATCCCAGATTCACAGTGTTGTCAGGCACCCCTATGCACATGCCGTTAATAGGAACACCACACTCTGCAACCACGGCGAGGCAGGAGGATCTACCGCAATCCCAAAGTCTGGCTGTGCCATCCCGAGAACAAGACAACACGTTCCTTCCACGATCCACCACCGCCAAGTCCAAGATTCCTACAAAACAGGACCTTTAATATGACGCATACACATTCTGCTTCTCCCATGGGGCTGTTTGCTGTGAACCCCTTGGGGGTGGATTTTTTCCATCCCCTCTCTCTCTTTTTTTTTTTTTTTTTTGTAATGTCGGGTGGTAAAATACCACAGGTTATGTGATAGTGCTTGACAATGAATTCTATAATTAGAAACTTCTTAGTATTAATAAAATCGTCAGATTCGGATTAATAAACAAACCATCTCCCATACAATCTTATGGGAGACAGAATTGGTATTAAAGAAACAGAGAAGCTGGTAGAGATTAGGAAAACATCCCTGTAATAAAACAAAAGGTGTTTAGTGGCCATTTAAAAAGCTGGCCATTTATTTTAAGGGCTGCTTTTAAACATACTCTAATGGTAAAAGATGACGCAAGTTAAAGTAACCCGATTCCTCATCTGCAAATTCTTCTAGATATTATTAAATCAAGCTTGCAATAGCAGAATTTGGCAACCAATCAAAAACAGCAAGTGAGATGCATGCTGGGATATATTAAAGTGTAAGAAGAATTGTTGGGTTTTTGTGATGATAAAAAAAAAAATAAAAAAAATAAAAGCGGCACCAATATAAACCATGCTAACAGTGTAGACTGTACTCAGTAATATTCCATTATGTGACAAAAAGTCGCTATAGAAGTACATGGGATTCCAGGCTGGGGGAGCTACGGCCCTGATTACCTGCTTGATGACCTTTAAAGGTAACCGGGCAGCTGGCGTCTTCCACCGACCAGATCTTAATCTGAGAATCCATCCCTCCGCTGAGCACCACCATCCCGGAGGGGAAGAACATGCAGCAGTTTACATCATAAATGTGACCTTCCAGAACCCTCTGCAGAAGGAACAAAACACGCAACGTTATCACCTGGACGGTCCGTCCATTGTATGAGAACATATTACAGCGCTACAAACAATCCACTCATTGTCAGGGATCTGCTGGGAAATATGACCGAAGCAGCAGCCGTCACCAACTTCATCCCTCTATTTTGGCTTTAGTAAGAAACACTGAAGGTAATTTCACTAAAGAAATGAGAACAACTAAGCTCTAGAATTTTATGGGATGGGTCAACATTCGACTGAATACAAAGAGAGAATGCGGCTGAAATCCTGCATTTTAAAGTGATTTGGAGGATACACTGTCCCTTTAATATTGTAACGTCCAGACTGTACTGTGCAGGGGATGGGGGTCAGTCCTGACTGGTAAACTGGCAGACTTTAAACGTGATATTGGTATTTGCCAGTACATGCTGGGTTTAACATGCAGAATGGAGTTTGCGATTGTAGCTCTAAGGACTAGAGTCTGAGAAATGTTGACATTTGTTACTATGTTTTGGTAGCTGTGTTATATAGTCCTTACATATCTGGGTTTACATAATTGTTATTTTAGACATTCAAAGGGTTAAATAAACACAGAGCAATCGAACTTACTCTAATTTCCCCGTTATTAGTTTGCCAGATCTTCATAGATCCATCTGTACTGGTAGAGAGCCCCAGTCCCCCTCCGCTGGACACATCCATGCAGGTTATCTGGTGGAAGGAGGGGAGACAAAGAATCATAAAGAAATCTGACAGAGGTATATAAACATTATCTATATGTACACACACATCTATGCACACGTACATACATCACTAATACATCCATACACACACACACACACCTATGCACACGTACATACATCACTAATACATCCATCAATACACACACACATCTATGCACACGTACATACATCACTAATACATCCATACACACACACACACACATCTATGCACACGTACATACATCACTAATACATACATCCATACACACACACATCTATGCACACGTACATACATCAGTAATACATCCATACACATCTATGCACACGTACATACATCAGTAATACATCCATACACACGTACATACATCACTAATACATACATACACACACACACACACACACACATCTATGCACACGTACATACATCACTAATACATACATACACACACACACACATCTATGCACACGTACATACATCACTAATACATACATACACACACACATCTATGCACACGTACATACATCACTAATACATACATACACACACACATCTATGCACACGTACATACATCACTAATACATACATACACACACACACACACACACAGAGAATCCACTCAGACTAATTTTAAAGATCACAAAATTGTTAAAAACACATAACACAAAAAAAACAATATATTATCATGCAATGAATAGGTCTTCTACATCAATGTGTTCCATTTTATGGCAGGCTCACACAATGTACGATCATATAATAATGTTGTTCTCTTTATAATGAGTCACAAGGTAAGTGCACTGTATTCTCTATGTTGCACTAATATAGCAGTTTATAAAAAATAAAAAAAAATGTACATGTTCAGGTGAGTGCAGTCTTTCTTTTTATAAGCACAAAATAATACAAAAAGCAACTAAATAAAGAGTACCCTCTGGACTTTAATAATATTTCTTATTTTAAAAAAAATGTGCAGTTGATACCAAAATAAATGTTTTGTGTATTTTATTTATTTATTTATTTATAAAATATTTTACCAGGAAAGATACATTGAGATTTCTCTCGTTTTCAAGTATGTCCTGGGTCCACAAATCATTGCATTGTTACATTAGGTACAACAAAATACAAAAACAAATGATCTAATGTGATGCTTTGCTATCAGAATGGCGTCTTGCATCTACCCATAATTCCGTGCAAACACGCACACACGGAATCACAAGAGTCAGAGTGTCTCTTGTTTCAGGAACAGCTTCATACAGAGTGTTATAAACGCAGGTACCATTTAAGCACTTAGCAGCTTCTCTTTCAACATCAAAGGGGGGGGAAATTAACCGTAAATTCCATGTACATGAAATAAATAAAAAATGCAAGTGAATGTCAATTTTTTTTTTTTTACTTAGGCCGGTTTCTTACCAGCGCTAATCTAGTCAGCTTTTAAAAATCCATTTCTGTGCAAGTTGCTTTTAAACTTTTAACAGAATTTTCCTGGTTTACTGTACTGACAGTTAGACATGATTCGACTCAGTTTTTAAGGAAACGCAGTTTGCTTGTTTATTAGAATTCAGGTAAAACCTCACACTGGTTTATGCAATGATTGCACCATTGTTGGTGGGTTTTTCCCCCCATTTAGAATTCCTTCTATTTTACTTTTTCAAATATTGTTCTATTTTTTTTTTTTTACACACAGAACGGAAAAGAACGGAAGACGTAAAAATAAAAAAAAGAAATATGTAAAAATACCTTACACTTTTTCCATGGATTCTCGCGAAGCCAGTGTACGGAGACAGAAATTTGGAGGATGTGTTTTCACTGGGACAGGAGACAGATATACTTTTCTGAAAGAAATGCAAGATGCAGAGTAACCATCTCGAAAACACACAGCCGGGTGCTCTGTTGACACTGACCAAAAAAATCCTACGATCACACACCCACAGCCGTGACATGTCACATCCGTGGTAACAGCAATCCGAACGTGTGCTTCATACCCCAACTTTTACAACACCTCAAACAGTAAGAATTATTGCAGTAATACATTATCTGTGTCTGGTTTTAAAATTATCCACTTGGCTTTTGAGCAGTGGTTGAACTGTAAATATAAAAATATAACAGTGATCTGATAAAGATTATTTTGCAGAATAAAACCCAACATATAAGCAGTCCATAGCTTTATACTGCTGGTGTTTAGCTCATGAAGGAGGGTGAAGAATAGCTCTATATAAGCAGAAGGCTACAAAAAACAATTTGGATACACTACAACCCAATTAACATGTTTCTCAGGTTTAACCTGAGTTTGTCGGCAGGTCTGTGAAACCAGGCACCAGTGTTTTTAGATTCATTTTCTGCGATACCGTACCAATTTATACCAGGGATTGTGATGTTCTCAAGCTATCACTGCCTGCTACCCCTGGTATGGACTGAAGTGGCCATTTGGTCGTTAGAGACAGGGCTGCAGTCTGCTGGGGATTGAACACCTGGGTTAATTGGTGAGTAAAGTGGTTATGGTGCCTGCAGTTTTCCTTTAATTTCATTTCAACATGCAGTTACAACGTACCTTTGTGACTGCATGTACAACAAATTCATCTGAGGAGGTGATATGGGGAATGCCATCAGAACCAACCCCCAGGCATTTCAGACATCCATAAATTGTAGGTTTCCCTGTGAAAGAGAACATTCACATTTTAGTGCGAGACTTTGTGATAAAAAAAGGACAATCCCCACTGACAGCGGTATTTAACTAGCGTGAGAATTCACTTTCCCTTCTTATCTGGCCTTAAATATGAAATGCGTTTTGAATACTGGCTTTACTAAGTAAGTGGGTCAGTGTTTGTTAAGTGATACATTCCTATACCAGTCTAGTGGCCGTCAAAGCAGGAAATGACAAACTAGGAATTGTGGAGAACTAATAAGAGAATTGCAGGTTTCTAGGTCAAAATGAGAAAAAATGCACATTGAATAAACCGAATGTTATAAACCAACAAAATGTGCATTTGAGACATTGTGCTGGTTATTGCTGGGTCCTTTAGGACATGGTTATTATAGTATCATATATTAAATATATCCTGTATTATACAATTATAGAATGTATTTTCAGCAGTGTAATTACAAATTACAGTGAATTGACGTCTCATTAATTAAACGGTTTATTTTCTACCTGCAGGATTTGAATTCAATATTTGTAAGGTGCCATTATTTAACAAGCTGCCCATCGATGTGTAATGCAGCAATATGTACAAGCAACGATAAACAGTATTAGTTAAATGGCAGCTGGGATCACTTGGGGAACACAGGTCAGGGTGGCACTGCCAGGAATAAAACCATCACTCACAATAAACATACCTGCAATCTTACACGACACCCACGCTTCGCCATCAGCCTTCCTGGAGAGAAAACATATTATTAGTTTGTTAAACAGACACAAGACATAGAGCTTAGCAAATTATCTCTAACATCCAGTCTCTCCACAACCCATCCGGGATTAAGGAAGAAAAGGAGAGAAGGCTCTGCACTCCAGTTACTGGACAGAGAGAGAAGGCTCTGCACTCCAGTTACTGGACAGAGAGAGAAGGCTCTGCACTCCAGTTACTGGACAGAGAGAGAAGGCTCTGCACTCCAGTTACTAGACAGAGAGAGAAGGCTCTGCACTCCAGTTACTGGACAGAGAGAGAAGGCTCTGCACTCCAGTTACTGGACAGAGAGAGAAGGCTCTGCACTCCAGTTACTGGACAGAGAGAGAAGGCTCTGCACTCAGTTACTGGACAGAGAGAGAAGGCTCTGCACTCAGTTACTGGACAGAGAGAGAAGGCTCTGCACTCAGTTACTGGACAGAGAGAGAAGGCTCTGCACTCAGTTACTGGACAGAGAGAGAAGGCTCTGCACTCAGTTACTGGACAGAAAAAGAAGGCTCTGCACTCAGTTACTGGACAAAGAGAGAAGGCTCTGCACTCAGTTACTGGACAGAGAGAGAAGGCTCTGCACTCAGTTACTGGACAGAGAGAGAAGGCTCTGCACTCAGTTACTGGACAGAGAGAGAAGGCTCTGCCTGATTAATCACATGGTATCCTATGTTTTACTATATACACAGTCTGATTATCATGGTATACTCTGTATCACTATATACACAGTCTGATTATCATGGTATACTCTGTATCAGTATATACACAGTCTGATTATCATGGGATACTCTGTATCACTATATATACAGTCTGATTATCATGGGATACTCTGTATCACTATATATACAGTCTGATTATCATGGGATACTCTGTATCACTATATATACACAGTCTGATTATCATGGGATACTCTGTATCACTATATACACAGTCTGATTATCATGTATACTCTGTATCACTATATATACAGTCTGATTATCATGGTATACTCTGTATCACTATATATACAGTCTGATTATCATGGTATACTCTGTATCACTATATACACAGTCTGATTATCAAGGTATACTCTGTATCAGTATATATACATCCAGTCTGATTATCATGGGATACTCTGTATCATTTTTTATTGCAGTCTGATTATCATGGTATACTCTGTATCACTATATACACAGTCTGATTATCATGGTATACTCTGTATCACTATATACACAGTCTGATTATCAAGGTATACTCTGTATCAGTATATATACATCCAGTCTGATTATCATGGGATACTCTGTATCATTTTTTATTGCAGTCTGATTATCATGGTATACTCTGTATCACTATATACACAGTCTGATTATCATGGTATACTCTGTATCACTATATACACAGTCTGATTATCAAGGTATACTCTGTATCAGTATATATACATCCAGTCTGATTATCATGGGATACTCTGTATCATTTTTTAGTGCAGTCTGATTATCATGGTATACTCTGTATCACTATATACACAGTCTGATTATCATGGTATACTCTGTATCACTATATACACAGTCTGATTATCATGGGATACTCTGTATCACTATATACACAGTCTGATTATCATGGTATCATCTGTATCAGTATATATACAGTCTGATTATCATGGTATACTCTGTATCAGTATATATACAGTCTGATTATCATGGGATACTCTGTATTACTATATACACAGTCTGATTATCATGGTACACTCTATATCACTATATATACACAGTCTGATTATCATGGGATACTCCCGATCACTATATACACATTCTGATTATCATGGGATACTCTGTATCACTATATACACAGTCTGATTATCATGGGATACTCTGTATCACTATATATACACAGTCTGATTATCATGGGATACTCTGTATCACTATATACACAGTCTGATTATCATGGGATACTCTGTATCACTATATATACATAGTCTGATTATCATGGGATAGTCTGTATCACTATATACACAGTCTGATTATCATGGTATACTCTGTATCACTATATACACAGTCTGATTATCATGTATACTCTGTATCACTATATATACAGTCTGATTATCATGGTATACTCTGTATCACTATATATACAGTCTGATTATCATGGTATACTCTGTATCACTATATACACAGTCTGATTATCAAGGTATACTCTGTATCAGTATATATACATCCAGTCTGATTATCATGGGATACTCTGTATCATTTTTTATTGCAGTCTGATTATCATGGTATACTCTGTATCACTATATACACAGTCTGATTATCATGGTATACTCTGTATCACTATATACACAGTCTGATTATCAAGGTATACTCTGTATCAGTATATATACATCCAGTCTGATTATCATGGGATACTCTGTATCATTTTTTAGTGCAGTCTGATTATCATGGTATACTCTGTATCACTATATACACAGTCTGATTATCATGGTATACTCTGTATCACTATATACACAGTCTGATTATCATGGGATACTCTGTATCACTATATACACAGTCTGATTATCATGGGATACTCTGTATCACTATATATACAGTCTGATTATCATGGTAAACTCTGTATCACTATATATACATAGTCTGATTATCATGGTATACTCTGTATCACTATATATACATAGTCTGATTATCATGGTATACTCTGTATCACTATATACACAGTCTGATTATCATGGGATACTCTGTATCACTATATACACAGTCTGATTATCATGGTATCATCTGTATCAGTATATATACAGTCTGATTATCATGGTATACTCTGTATCAGTATATATACAGTCTGATTATCATGGGATACTCTGTATTACTATATACACAGTCTGATTATCATGGTACACTCTATAATACTATATATACATGAAGTTCGATTATCATGGATACTTGTAATACCATATACACATTCTGATTATCATGGGATACTCTGTATCACTATATACACAGTCTGATTATCATGGGATACTCTGTATCACTATATATACACAGTCTGATTATCATGGGATACTCTGTATCACTATATACACAGTCTGATTATCATGGGATAGTCTGTATCACTATATACACAGTCTGATTATCATGGTATACTCTGTATCACTATATACACAGTCTGATTATCATGGGATAGTCTGTATCACTATATACACAGTCTGATTATCATGGGATACTCTGTATCACTATATACACAGTCTGATTATCATGGTATACTCTGTATCACTATATATACAGTCTGATTATCATAGGATACTCTGTATCAGTATATACACAGTCTGATCATCATGGGATACTCTGTATCAGTATATACACAGTCTGATTATCATGGGATACTCTGTATCACTATATATACAGTCTGATTATCATGGTATACTCTGTATCACTATATACACAGTCTGATTATCATGGTATACTCTGTATCAGTATATACACAGTCTGATTATCATGGTATACTCTGTATCACTATATATACACAGTCTGATTATCATAGTATACTCTGTATCACTATATACACAGTCTGATTATCATGGGATACTCTGTATCAGTATATACACAGTCTGATTATCATGGTATACTCTGTATCACTATATACACAGTCTGATTATCATGGGATACTCTGTATCACTATATATACAGTCTGATTATCATGGTATACTCTGTATCAGTATATACACAGTCTGATTATCATGGGATACTCTGTATCAGTATATACACAGTCTGATTATCATGGTATACTCTGTATCACTATATATACAGTCTGATTATCATGGTATACTCTGTATCAGTATATATACACAGTCTGATTATCATGGTATACTCTGTATCAGTATATACACAGTCTGATCATCATGGGATACTCTGTATCAGTATATACACAGTCTGATTATCATGGTATACTCTGTATCACTATATATACAGTCTGATTATCATGGTATACTCTGTATCAGTATATATACAGTCTGATTATCATGGTATACTCTGTATCAGTATATATACAGTCTGATTATCATGGGATACTCTGTATTACTATATACACAGTCTGATTATCATGGTACACTCTATATCACTATATATACACAGTCTGATTATCATGGGATACTCTGTATCACTATATACACATTCTGATTATCATGGGATACTCTGTATCACTATATACACAGTCTGATTATCATGGGATACTCTGTATCACTATATATACACAGTCTGATTATCATGGGATACTCTGTATCACTATATACACAGTCTGATTATCATGGGATACTCTGTATCACTATATATACATAGTCTGATTATCATGGGATAGTCTGTATCACTATATACACAGTCTGATTATCATGGTATACTCTGTATCACTATATACACAGTCTGATTATCATGGGATAGTCTGTATCAGTATATACACAGTCTGATTATCATGGGATACTCTGTATCACTATATATACAGTCTGATTATCATGGTATACTCTGTATCACTATATACACACAGTCTGATTATCATGGTATACTCTGTATCAGTATATACACAGTCTGATTATCATGGTATACTCTGTATCACTATATATACACAGTCTGATTATCATAGTATACTCTGTATCACTATATACACAGTCTGATTATCATGGGATACTCTGTATCAGTATATACACAGTCTGATTATCATGGTATACTCTGTATCAGTATATACACAGTCTGATTATCATGGTATACTCTGTATCACTATATACACAGTCTGATTATCATGGGATACTCTGTATCACTATATATACAGTCTGATTATCATGGTATACTCTGTATCAGTATATACACAGTCTGATTATCATGGGATACTCTGTATCAGTATATACACAGTCTGATTATCATGGTATACTCTGTATCACTATATATACAGTCTGATTATCATGGTATACTCTGTATCAGTATATATACACAGTCTGATTATCATGGTATACTCTGTATCAGTATATACACAGTCTGATTATCATGGTATACTCTGTATCACTATATACACAGTCTGATTATCATGGTATACTCTGTATCAGTATATACACAGTCTGATTATCATGGTATACTCTGTATCACTATATATACACAGTCTGATTATCATAGTATACTCTGTATCACTATATACACAGTCTGATTATCATGGGATACTCTGTATCAGTATATACACAGTCTGATTATCATGGTATACTCTGTATCAGTATATACACAGTCTGATTATCATGGTATACTCTGTATCACTATATACACAGTCTGATTATCATGGTATACTCTGTATCAGTATATACACAGTCTGATCATCATGGGATACTCTGTATCACTATATATTGCAGTGGGCAGTATCCCCCCTCACCGCAGGGCTTGTTGCCAGTCACTCTGGATAAAGATCCTGGCAGACCCCATACTGCAGCCTCATCACCCGGAAGCAGATCTGTCCTTACCCGGAAGTTCATTCCTCCACTAACCCATGTGCTGGTGACACCCGGAAGTGCATCTTGTGCCCTTTCTGTGTGATCCCAAACAAGGCAAGGAGACAGCTCATGGTGAGAGGAAACTAATCAATAATCAATAAATCTAGTGATTGGAAATCACAGAGAATCCATAGCCTGCACACAGACTGAATGGAGATATTGGTTTATTCACTAAACTTTTAATTTGACAAATTAAAGTCTAAGAAAATATCCAGCTCCATTTTCAGGCTTGTGTTTTTCAATTTCTTTATCACAAGTCATTGTTTAGTAAATAAAATTGTATAGATTTTAATTTGCCAGGGAAGTTTAGAAAAACATTTAATAAAAAAATAAACTTAAATAGTTAAGAAATAACTAAAGCAGTAAATTACAGATTAAGATCATCTTTCCAGGGTAATCTGGAAGAGTTAAAATTTAATAATAAATAATATTTTAGTTTAGTTATTAAACTGTAAAACCAAAAGAGATCTTGAAAATACTAAAATTGTTGCAATAGTTGGGAGAACTTTTTTATTAAAAGTTATTTGGCCATAATTCTGCAATTCATTGTTCATTTCATAACATTAAACTGCCATTAGTAACAAAGGATACAGTACTATATGCCTCATTTGGATAATTTTATCATCTATACCTATACATTCACTGCTGATTTACCTTGTATTACATATAGGTTTAATAGTTCTAATTTTTATGCACTTGTCTTTATATTGCAATTTGTCAAATTCTCACCTTCTTGCTATTTTTCTTTTACAAACCAAAATAAGTAAAGTCTGTGATGTAAATGCAGATGGCATTGAGAGAGACCAGGTATGGTAATGAAATTGCTCTCCTTTTTATTTCCACCTACAGGTATATGAAAATGTCTTTTCCAGTCCAACAACCTCATAATCGCACACGGAAGCCAGATGATGAAGAGGACCCTGTTGATCAGATGATTGTTCGCACAGGATGCGCAGCAGCTCATTATGCTGTGCAGGAGTGCATGGCAGAGCACCAGGACTGGAGACAGTGTCAGCCACAAGTCCAGAAATTTAAAGACTGCATGCTGGATTATCAGAAACAGAGGGCGGAAGAACTGAAGAAGCAGATAAAAGCTTCATAGACACAATCCAATGGAAAACATTGTAGAACATTAATGGACTTGGTCTTGTTCGTCTCTTGAAATATTGGGATTAAGAACATTTATCTGGAATGGACGATGCTTGAAACAAATCTCTCTGTTTAGGTTTTGCAAAGTCCTGTTTATTTTTTACAAACAGTGGTTAGAGATCTGTTCTCTCTCTCTCTGGTGTCTTATATATGCTTACTAGGCATTACAGAAAAGAAAGAGAAGTCTCACTTATTATCGGTTCTGTACGTTGCAACCGGTCATGTAACATCTATCGGAAAAAAATCAAATGTCAATTTTAAAAACCCTATTAGGAGTAAGAAGGTAAATATTACACCTAATAGACAGTGAATGGTATAAATGAGCCACAGCACTGTAGGGACAATTGAGGCAATTTCCATGGTTGCATGAAACTATATTTTCTACGGTGTTATAGAAAAATGGCTTATATTCAGTTATTTGCAAAACCACAAATTGTTGGGAATTTACCAGAGAGTGAATTGCAAATAGCTGAGCCACAAAAATATTTTCAGATTTGGCTTACAATTTACAATTCCTTGGTGAATTCTAGTGAAGAACCCCAATTGGTGACCAGCTCAGCACTAAAGTACCATTTGTCCTTGTAGAGTGCATGGAGAGGCTCATTACTGAACCTGTGTTACAGTTATACTAATACATTGAATGGGGCGGGTTTTTTCAATTACTCGTTTTTTTTAAGGAAAGTAAAACGTTGAGAATACAAGGGACTTATTCACTAAACCAGTAACTGAGGAGTTCGGACAAAGGAATTTAGTTTAATAACAGAGATGGAAAATGTAAAGTTGAATAAATTGACTATTTTGACCTAAAATATGCAATCTTTTTGTGTTTCTGCAAGAGTTTTTTGCTAAATTCCACCTTTAGGGGCTAGTTGCATATCTCTGCAGGCTTGTTTTATAAATGTACTTATTTAGTAACACCCCCTGGCAGTTTGATGTGGAAACACTGATTGGACACAAATCATCATTAGTGATGACTTAAAGATACACTGTACGCACTCAGACCACTTTAGTTCTTTGAAATGGCCTGTGTGCAGTGTCCATATCTCCTTAACCCTGCATAGGTAATTATTGCAGTTTTTGAGAAACTGGATGTATGGATGTAATAGTCTCCAAATATCATATAAATTAAATTGTTTACAAATATTCTGTAATTTTTAGGCCTGTTTATTAATTCTTCAACTATGAATAATAAAAGAATTAATAAACAGGCCAAAAAATTACAGAATATTTGTAAACAATTTAATTTATATGATATTTGGAGACTATTACATCCATTTCAAATAGATTATTCTCATTTCTCTAGTGTTCATGGTACCTATTCAAGGATTGATTATTGTTTAGTTGACTCAAACACAATCCCTCTTTTTAACTCTGTTGATATTAAGGAGAATCCCTGGTCTGATCATAGTTTCCTATTATTTGATCTTGGCAAAAATCCACCACTGTCTCGTACCACCTGGAGACTGCATGACTCCCTTATTAAAAACGAATATAACAGGGAGGAGTTGTCTAAGCTATTAGAATATTTTTGGTCTGAAAATAATCCAGCGGACACTTCTCCTATGATTAATTGGTTTACTCACAAATCTATTATGAGGGGCTATCTAATTAAAATGGGTCATATTCATAAGAAAAGGAATGATAAGAATTTAAAGGATTTATATATTGAATTTTACTCATGTTCCCATTTAAATAAACAATATTGTACGCCAGAGTTGAGGACTCGTTTAAACCATTTAAAACAATAAATAAATTTGAAGGAGGAAGAAAAGATTAAGATTAATATAAATAAGTTAAATTTGAATAATTATCATACGGGTAATAGAGCCAATAAAAACTTAACAAAAAGACTTCAAAATCAATATGCAAGGAACAGGGTGGAAAAACTGGTCATCGACCAATTAGTTTATTCTACCCCTTCCCTAATAGGTCAAAAATTCAATCAATTTTATCAGGAATTATATAATTTAAATTTATACCCTAAAACAAAGGATATTCAAAATTATTTACATAATACAATAATTCCGAAACTTACCTCACAAGATCTGGTACTTTTTAAATAAGAAAATTACCATGGAGGAAGTTAAGTATCAAATAGATAGACTCCCCACAAATAAAACTCTGGGGCCTGACGGCTTCACAAATTTATATTATAAATATATGAAGTCGCATTTATTAAACCCTATCACTCAATTCTTTAATCAACAACAACCAAATAACACCATTCCAAAAGAATTGTTACAATCTAATCTTGTTCCCATATTGAAACAGAATAAGGATAGTACAGATCCGTGCAATTATAGACCGATCGCGTTAATTAATGTAGACATGAAGTTATATTCAGCTTGTAAAGGATCCTTCTATTCGTGCAGCGATGATCCTTGCAGCTTCTCCCGAAATCCAGCTGAAACTAAGTGATTATAACTCCCAATCCCCCAAACATGAGTCGAGAATTTATGAAGGGGTAAAACGATCTGATTTACTGTGGGCTACCTGCCCGGTATTTATGCAGGTCTCCCACCTGGTGGACACTCCCCTAGGGGACCAGATGGAAGACTGTGACAAAAGCATTACAGTAGCCAATCACAGTGGCTTTAACATAAGCACTCCCCTTTTACATAAATCACTCCCTCTTTTCCATCCTGGAGATAATTAACTTAAGTGAGTAAAAAGAGCCTTAATTATCTCCAGGTAGAAAGAAACATGGCTTTTCTTTTTTTAGCAAAACAGCATAAAAATCTATAACTTACATTTTACAGAACATAAACTTTAAGTCCCACATATACCCGTCGCTTGGATCTGAGTGCATATTCTAGGCCAATAGCGCTCAGATCCCACGAACACAGTTCTCAGAAACGTCGACTGAAGTTTGGCTTTTGCCAGCCGTTCGCGTATTTCCAGACGTATGAACGAGGACCTTGGTAGGTACCAGCGGTGTTCGGCGGAATAAGTGTCCGAAAAGAGTTCCAGGGCATCGCCGCCATTTACCGCTGGGCTTTCGACAAACACCGGCCACCCAGGCATTCGACAATTAAGCTGCGGTTAACCGCAGCTTCTGGGTGGCTAATAAGCAGCACACGCCACAGACCGGGTGGTCGGCCGTTTCGGCAGTTTGTTTGTCTGTACGAACAGCCTTAATCCAGCTGTAAGGGAAGTTAAACTGCACGAACCAACATACGAATGTATCAGGGAAAATGTAAAATCCAAGCAAGTACGGCAACCGATGTAATCCAGGGACAAAGGGCTCTGTCCCAAGTGCCTTAAAGGACCACTATAGTGCCAGGAAAACATACTCGTTTTCCTGGCACTATAGTGCCCTGAGGGTGCACCCACCCTCAGGGTCCCCCTCCCGCCCGGCTCTGGAAAGGGGAAAAGGGGTTAAACTTACCTTTTTCCAGCGCTGGGCGGAGAGCTCTCCTCCTCCTCTCCGCCTCCGATCCTCCTCCGATCCGCCCCGTCGGCTGAATGCGCACGCGCGGCAAGAGCTGCGCGCGCATTCAGCCGGTCACATAGGAAAGCATTCATAATGCTTTCCTATGGACGCTTGCGTGCTCTCACTGTGAAAATCACAGTGAGAAGCACGCAAGCGCCTCTAGTGGCTGTCAATGAGCCAGCCACTAGAGGGAATGGGGGAAGGCTTAACCCATTGATAAACATAGCAGTTTCTCTGAAACTGCTATGTTTATGAAAAAATGGGTTAACCCTAGCTGGACCTGGCACCCAGACCACTTCATTAAGTTGAAGTGGTCTGGGTGCCTAGAGTGGTCCTTTAAGACCCAATAACTTAAAGGGCCAGCATCCCAGGGTAAGAGGCTAGCAATCCAGCTCTCCATAAGACAGGGGGGTAGGGCAGTTTGTCACATGAAACCCCCATGACAAAAGGCATTTTGTCACACAGCTATTATTGCTGAGAGAATTAAAAATATTATATCGAAACCTATCCATCCTGACCAGATCGGGTTTATCCCTGGAAGATGGGCATCAAATAATTCCCGTAGATTGATTGATAGTATTGACTGGTCAAATAGACATGACATTCCCCTCCTGGCCCTGTCATTAGACGCCGAAAAAGCGTTCGACAGGGTCGGGTGGGGATATTTAAGTGAAGTCCTGAAGGCATTCGGATTCATGGGATGGATATATGGCGCTATTTTAGCTCTATATTCCTCCCCTTCAGCTAGAACAGTGGGTCCGAATATAACTGCAGGATGGTTTGATCTTAAAAATGGAACTAGACAGGGGTGTCCCCTTTTGCCTTTATTATATATTTTATCGCTTGAACCTTTAGCTATTAATATTAGGAATAACTTATTAATCAGCGTTGTTAAAATAAAATTATGTGATGCTAAAATTTCTTTATATGCGGATGATGCTTTAATCACCCTGTCTTTTCCTGAAAAATCACTTCGGCCTTTAATGTTTGAAATTGAGAGATACTCCAGTATATCTAATTTCAAGTTAAATATTTTAAAATCAATAGCCTTAACCATCAATGTGCCTTCAGACTTGGTTGATAATTTATCCCAGAATTATAAATTTATCTGGACAGACAAGGAATTAAATTATTTGGGTCTAACGATCCCTGTAAGTATTCCGACTATAATGGAGAGAAACGTTTTAATCTTAATGAAAAACATGAACCTTAAATTAAAAAAATGGCAAAATTTGGAAACTTCGTGGATAGGTAGAATTAATATTATAAATTCCTATATCTTACCTAAGTGGCTAAATCTTTTTTCTATGGTCCCACTAGAAATGCCTAAGCCTTGGTTAGCAATGATTCAATCAAGTTATAATAAATTTATTTGGAAAAATAAAAGACCTAGAATTAATCAAAAAATTTTATTTAAAAAACTATCCCAAGGTGGCCTTGGCTTTCCTAGTATTACATATACGTATTTTGCTAATATTATCCGTCATATTTACATTCTTCAAGATCCACAGGTTCGTAGGGAGCCATGGTTTATTTTAGAATCAGAAGCTGCCCACTCTTCTAGATTATACCATTATATGTGGATGGATTTCAAAGAGATTCCGAAAGAGTTAAATAGTTGGTTTCCATCCACGTTGTTTTAAACTCTAGAAGACTGGGCAGAAATTAAGAAAATTTTGAATATTGTACAACTAATACCTAGATCTTGTAGTCTTAATATTTTGGAGTGTATTATAGAGGATTTCTCATTGACTTCTTGGGGAAATATTGATTCACTAACTATTTCAGACATTATGCAAGGAGATAATATTCTGTCTTTTCAACAGATTGTTGATAATATACATATTTCTCCTATAGAGATTTTTACTTATCTTCGAATCAAACATTTCATACAGAAATGTGTTATTCCAAATTCTTTTCCTTTGGCTAAGAAATTAGAAACTCTATTTTGTTACTGAACGGTTTCTAAGGTTACTTCTGCTGCTAACTCTTTGCTTGATGAAACTAAGATAATACCCCATAAACAGATTAACACATGGGAGAAGGAATTAAATTTAGTGATTCCCTTTAATGACTGGCTAGCCTCCTTAATAAATGTAAATAAATATATACATTGCTTAACCTTGACTGAGTGCCATTTTAAGGTAGTTCACAGATGGTATTTTACTCCAACAAGATTGACAAGAATGTATGAAACATCCGATTCCACCTGCTGGAGATGTGGCTCGTGTCTGGGCACATATATGCATATATGGTGGGATTGTCCATTAGTTAAACCGCTGTGGATATGGGCATTTAATATCATTTATACAGTTATATGTATTAGACTTAATCAAAATCCGGTCATCGCCCTTTTACATTTGAATTGGCAATTAAAGTCACATGAACATATCTGCTTTGCTATACATTGATTTGTTGCTGTCAAAATTAATATAGCCAGACAATGGAAGTCCTCAAATTTATTTCAGAAATCCCGTTTGATTGATCAAATTATATTTCAGTTAACAATGGAAAAAGAGATTATAACTAATACCACTGTCTTTTTAAAAAAAAACTATATGGTACTCTAATTGGCTTCAAAAACTTTCCAATGGTAACAAATTTATGGTCCGTTTTTCTCATTTATATAAAAAGGGGAAAAAAGGGAAAAGAGAAAGGGAAAGAAAAGGGAAGATAGGGAAGGTAAAAAGAAAAAGAATAGGAAGAAAAAATTTACAATAATAACTATGGTCTCAAGGTCTTAATTGGCTCCTTTTTTGCTTTTGTATGTGTACTTTTTTGTACTGTTACATGGTAATAATCCTTGTGTCTTTGATATATTAGTAAGAAAGTTCTCCTGTTCTGTATAGGTGGTGGTGTACTTTTGTTGTCTTGGTCTTGTTTTTGTTTTTTCTTTGTGTGTTCGATTTCTTTTGTATAAATAACAAGATTTTGCATTAAATGCTTGACTGTATCATATTAATCGAATACTTCTTGCTATTGTTATTTGCTTATTAACTATGATATACTAAAAAAAATTTCAATAAAAAATTATTATAAAAAAAATAAAAATAAAATAATGACCTTGCAGTATAAGACTGCCTAGTGCTTGGGTCCTCAAACTCCGGCCCGCCAGATGTTGCTGAACTACAACTCCCATGATTCTCTGGCTATCTGTGTAATTCAAAGAATCATGGGAGTTGTAGTTCAGCAACATCTGGGGGGCCGGAGTTTGAGGACCCCTACTCTAGTGGCTTACAGGAAGACTGCCACTAGAGGCGTGTTTAACCCTGCAATTAAAATATTGCTGTATCTACTAGACGGCAGTGTTTTACATGGAAGGGTTAAAATGACAGGGGTACTGCACCCAGACCAATACATTGTGTGCCCTTGATTAAAAAAAAAAAAGCTGTGTAAAGGAAAAGCTATTGCAGGAAGCCTGGAAATTCTCCCTCTGGGGAAAAGTGCCTGTGATAAAAGGAATATCTTGCTAAGGGGAAACTGGATTAATAGAAAAAAAAAAAGTGATAAACTTAGTGGGTGCAAGGAAATAAGGGTTAATTAAATTTACATCCAGAATATTTCTTCAGCCCTGAACTGAATTCCCTGTGAATGGCTTAGGTCATTAAACCATTGTTACCCTCCATTTGGTAAAGAGAGAGGGGAAAAAATGTGAAGCAAGCAGGTTGATTATGTTCCAGTGCATCCCACCATTATCTACTCGCTATCATTTTATGTTTCTTGCATTGTTGCTCTCCATTATATAATGTGTGTAACCTCCCTGTGAGTGAAGCATCCAGAGATTTAAACTGGATACATCGGAAACTAGGTGGCTATCAGCAATCCAATGCACCTTTTATGTCAATTCAATTTACCCCTATCACTAAAAAACACAAGACAAGATCAAAAATAAGTTGTTGTTTTACACGAGGAAATTAAGATAGATCACCGTCCCCATAACTGGAATCAGAATCATTCTAGGGATTACACAGCACACAATGTGACAACCAATGGTTTATGCACCGACCAGCAAACTGCTAAACCTAGACAAAAAGTGTTCTCCTAAAATTTTAAATTTAACTTACAATTCACCGTTTGGTGTTAGCTTAAAATACTATTCACTAGGGATGTGCATGGGAAAAATATTCGGTTCAGCATTCCGAAATTCGTGACTTTAGTTCGGCACTTCAGGTAAGTGTAGGGATAGGGTTAGGAGTAGGGTCAGGGCAGGGGTAGGCAACCTACGGCACGTGTGCCATGCAGGGCACTCAAGGCTACAACAGCCAAACAGGCTCTGGCCTATCAGGAGTCCCAGTGAAACTTCAGATATTTGCGAATACGAAAAGGTGGTGAAGGGCAATCCTCGATTTATGCATTGCAGCACGTAGAGGATGTGATCTCAGATCACTTCCTCCCAGCACTTGTGAATGGGAATCCACACTGTAGTAGAGCAGCCCGCAGCGGCTGTTGCAACTCCTGCCCTTGTCCTGTACCTCGCCAGCCTGATCCCCACTGGACTCTAGGGAAGCCACCCACACTCCTATATATACACAGAAATGCAGAATAACCCTCCGGTCATACAAATAATACACACACACACAATTCCCACAAACTCAACACCCCTTACAATCCACACACAACCCCACATGCAAAACCCCAAACAGCCCCCACACATACACACTACCAAACACACAATGTGACATATCCATCTACACACACTATAACATAATCCCACAAGCAGCCCCCATTCATAGGTTTTATACATAACACCACAAACTACTTGTGAACATATACAATATAATGGCTCATATACTCACAAATACTATACAAAACTGGCACAGTGCTGCTAAAAGTTTACCTACCCCTGGGTTAGGGTTATGGTAGGGTTAGTGTAGGGGTAGGTTAGGGCCAGGGTTAGGGTTACCCTACCCCAACCCTTAACCATACCCTAACCCCAACCCTCTCCTGTTTTGCCACTTTTCAGAAATCCGAAGTACTTCCGAAATTCGGTTTAACTCAGCATTCCCGAAATTCGGCACTTCAGAAGATCCGAATTTGCATTTGAAACGAATTGCACATGTCTACTATTCAACATTGTATCATTTAAGGCATTGCATCTCATGCCTGTGTTTGTTTTTAAATGGAGAAACACTATATAGTAACCTATAAAGACTGTATCATTTTATGATTTATGTATCAGTTTTGTTTCATTTCAAGATTTAAGACTGACACTATATAATCTTCAGCTTAACCAGCACTTGCTTCCTGCTTATACCATAGTAGGTAATCTTTCTGGGATCCCATTTAGCTGATACAGCCTCAGATTATCAACATTTAGGTGTTTTATAAAGTTGGACTTTTATCAAGCTGCAATATATATTCCATACGGTTTAAGAATTTTTGACCATATCACCGTTTAGTCGATATATCCCATATCTGGGTCTATTTGCACTGTGGATTTGTATTCATAGTTATACTTTTATTTTATATTTTATTCCTCCTCCCCCCCTTTTTTATTTATTAAATTTTTTTCTTATTTCTATCTTTCTCATTCCGGATATATATTCTTTCTTTATATCTACTTACTTCTGGTTAGCTTATTGATTTTCCCCAATAGATTTTTTACTATATAGTACCCTGCTGTGCCCCTGCCCCCTTTAAAAAAACGTTTTAAACACGCAGGTCTGATAGACTTCTGTGTGGTGTGCCAATCGAGAATTCAATGCTAGACCTAGCCGTTACAGAGTTTGAAGTATGCGGTCATGCCTCGTGTATTGAAAAGTACTCCTATGCAGACATTCCTGATGGGTTTCCTGCTTAATTTTGTGTATGGAACAGGCAGGCAATCTTCATCCAGCCCCAGGCTGGCCAGCACACCTGTCCCGTTTACATTTTCTGATTGTAAGCAAGACAGAGAAAACATCTATTTTATTCTGGATTACTGCAATGGCTGCATGGGTCTGAGCTGCCTGCTTGCTTCTGTGTTGCCCCTGGAGCGATCTGTTAAGACCCGGACTGGACTATAACATATGCCCTCTAGCAAGTATTTAGTCTACAAAACACCAATGTGGCCAGTGAAAGATAATGCATGAACCTGCTGCCAAGAGATCACACAGAACATTTAGAAAATGTTTTATTTAAATATTAGGGTTTTTTTTTTTTTTAAACAAACCCTGGGTCTTAAAACCACATGAAAACTCATTCTGATCATCTGGGGGTTTGGATTCCATTAATGAAGAACCTAACATGCTTTGACTAGATGTATCTGCTCGAACAAGTGATGGCATTTAAGTCTGGTTTCTGTTTCCCCACCAACATTCCCCATCCACAGGCTAATATACTTGTTGGAAACATGTATTGCAAAAGGTCCAGATTTAGGAGTATTCAGTAGAAACTCTTGAACAGCGGAGTATAAAAAAAAAAAAAAATATATATATATATATATATAATATATCTCAGATGTGAAGGCGACAGTGAAGAGTGGGTTACTGTAAATGTGGCGACAGCAAGTGTGACAAAAAACATGATTTTAAGTATAGGATCTCAAGGAATATCAATTAATTGAAGCCATTAGGTTTTCCAGGTCGGGACGAGACTTGAATCTGGATTGGTAATCTGCCTCTGTGTGCTGGGGAAAAAGATTAGACACTGGTATTAGAATGGATGCCACACAAACAAAAACTGCGACTATAAAAGGAACAAAAATTGAAAAGTGACACTCATTTATAAGGTATTCAATAAAATATGCTAAAACCGTTACAAAATTACAGATATTTCTACTCATTTTAAAACAGCAGGTAAACACCTCCCTTAGTAGGAAAAGGCTCCCCTATTCATTCTGGGCTATGGGGCTGTTTTATGAAATATGGCAGTTCCACTCATCAGATCCGATATCAGAATGCTTGCTCACAGTGTGGCTGCTGCTTGGGCATTCTTCAGAGCTTAAGAGGGAACTGGTAGTGTGTGTGCATCAGCTTACATGGAGAACATGCAGGTGAAGTAAATTATCTCCTCCATCTTGGGGAGATGGGCAGTTTTAAAAGCTGTATTCCTGGCACTCCCTCGTGACACCCCACCCCCCTCCTCCCCCCCTCTGTATTGACAAAAACCACGACTCTGTCTGGTCACAGCTCACATTGTCCTGTGGGAACATATTCAGTAGTGATTTTACGAATGAAGATTATTGCAGGTTGCATTTTTTGCAGCTGTAATTATGTATCTATGTAATGTATTATATATGCTATCAATCCCATTCTGAAGTGTCCCTTAAAAGTTTATATAAATATTTCATAGTTAGCTGGAATAATGCTAAATATTTAATCCAAGTCGTACACTCCCAGGCAACACTGCGCATTCAATACTATGCCCAAACTACAGTGAAACACTCAGCCATGTGCAGTATTGCCATGAGTAAATCTGATGATTTATAGGAAGAGTGAGCACAGTGGCACATGGCATATATAAAATATTTTATTTCAATTAAAAAAGGAAACAGATGGTGTAGATTTTATTTGGATAATTTCCATCATCCATATTAAGCCAAGTAAGTTATTTTACCCTTAAAGCGTTATTGAGCACAAACATTTCCCACTTACCTCGAGTGACACTCCAAACACCATAAACACTACAGCTCACTATAGCAGTTATTGTGCCATAGGTCCCCCCCACCCAATTGTACAAAGTCAAAATGTTTTAAGACAACTTACCTTTGTACCTGGCGCTGCACTTCACCTCCACTATTTCCTGTAGAGGGTCTGACGCTCTCAAACGGGGATAGCTCATTGGCTAAGAGTTAGCAGAAGACCCCAGGTAAGAAGTCAAACTATTCTACACGGGTTAGCCTCCCCACAATGAAGGGATAACATTTGAACCTTGTGGTTTTGGTGTTTTAACATTTATTCCCAGGGAACGGGCTATTCACTAACCTCCTTCACCAGAAGATTGACACCTTCAGGCTGGTTCATCAATAGGACTTCAATAAGAATAGGACTGAACGTGGAGCTCAATCCACTCACCTTAACAAATAAAAATTAACAGTCAAAACCCCAAAATTCCTTCCAAAGAGCAGTCTTCATGGCACACCACAAATTCAGGATTTATGTATTTCCCTGTTTTATGCCAATGGAGATACTGACAAAACCTGGACTTTTGGTGGGTCTTGAGGACCGGTTTGAGAAAAACTGCTAGAGATTTTACACAAAGTATACATTAAGTGAATATTTTATATACGTCAGAGAACAGGGCATAAAACTGGACTTAAATGAAGAAAAAAAATAAAACAAATTGGCTGAGAACTTCTAAGATAAAATATGATCTGTTTTTTGTGATGTCCGAATTATCGATGAAGGAACATATTAGGGTTGATAGTCCAGCCATGCTTCATATACACGCTGTAACACTAAGTTCCATTGGTTGCCAACCTTTCAGCATAGACAATGTATACGAGAAGAGCACTGGACAGCTATCTGCACAATGATAAATGAGGTTTGGTTCCATCCCTCATATATGTTAAATCTATTAAGATTTGCTAGTGATCATATCTCAATTATTTTCGACTTTGGTAAACAAATTAGAGGGGCTATGCTGAATGGATGTGGGAGAATGTAGTTCCATAAGGCCAAATGACATTTTAATACCTGCAGTTTCACAAGACGACTAACTGCAGCAAAACTGATCCACAGGCACATTTAACCCCTTAAGGACCAGTATTAGGCAAATATGTTTTTAAGGCAGGCTTTTCATGCATTCAACTCCTGAAGGGGATTAAAGCCTTTCTGAAAGTCATTCTGGGACTCTGACAACAATACCAGTACATATCTTTCGTACCTATCTGGAAATATAAAAGCTATATATTTTGTAAATGCTTCCGCTACGAACTGGAATCATTTAATGAGGAAGAATCATTTAATGAGGAAGAATCATTTAATGAGGAAGAAAGCAAATCCTTTGTCCCTAAATATTTCTCATTTTTCACTTTGACAGAAAATGGGTTTATTTTTTCCTGTTCCCCCCCCCCGCCAGACTGTGAAACATCCAAATTCTCCGCCCAATCCTGTCTCACCTGGATGACTCTCTCGTGGAATGTAAGAACGGAATCTAAAAACATTTTGTTCCCATGTTCTGGTAAGAGCATGACTTCAGTGGTTTTTGTTGGGTTGGCATAGCTGATAAAACAAAGAACTTATTAGCATGGCTCTAACATTTTATCTCAAAATACTTACAAACAAATCAATTGAACCCATATATTAGATTTTCAGTTGCAGACGGAAACAGATTTTTTCTTTATCAGCATTAAAGAACAAAATATATAAGCTTTCATTGCAATCCCCAGGTTTACGCATGTTTCGTAGGGGTTAAGAAATTCACTGACCTCTTTCTTTGGCAAAGAGGTAAAATAAATTGACTTCTACTGTAACAGCCTCATAAAAAAAATAATCTGTTGATGTAATTAACCACAAAATGCTACTACCCAGGAAATGTCTCCATAAAATCCCAATATCACATATGCTACAATGGCATCCAATCATTCATCAACACACACACAACTATGCTATGCGTAACATGATATCCGCTTCCTCTAACCTTAAAAAACATCCCACTGCAGCTTCTTGGACACTTTGAAGAAAACGTTTGTGTTGCTCTTAGTAATTAAATAATATCAGCCCGTACAAGTTGTCTCTGGGAAATAAACCTAAGCACTACCAGATTAAATTTCCCTTGATATCCCCTTTATTCTTTTATCTTCTCCTTCTGTGTCTTTCTAAGGAACTGAAGCGATTTAAAAAATAATTTAGCAAAATGTTTCTGATACCCAACACAAAGAAATTATAATTTTGTATTTAATATAAAAGATTCCTTGATTCTAGAGAAAATAAAAATAAAATGTATCCAGTAATGTAGAAGAAATAGTAACAGATAAAACATTACAGACCTTTCCTCTACTTTGATGGAGAAGCGGTTGCAGAAATTATGGATATACTGGGTGAAGTGTTCAACAAGTGTCATGTTATATCCGGACACCTGAAGGTTCACAAATCCATACTCACAGTCGGACTTGGGTTTTATTTCCTTAGTTGCAAGCTTGCCTTTCTTTTTGGGGTCCTAGTGGTACAAAACAGTTCCATTAAACCATTTGTGTTCTGAAAGAATTTTTCAAGTCTTACACGACTGGCCGGGCTTTAACCCCTTAAGGACACATGACATGTCTGACATGTCATGATTCCCTTTTATTCCAGAAGTTTGGTCCTTAAGGGGTTAAAAGTTACTTGCCATTGCAATCCTGGAGGGTCTCCTTCATACTCACCAAGACCAATGGCCAGTGGAAATTTTGAGCTCTGGTTAATATAATCAGTGAGGATATACTCCCAACAGCAAGAAACTAACTCACTGACAATTTGAAAAAGTAGAACACATATCCCGATGTAATAACTTGACAAACTAATTTTAAGATGATCCGATCTACTAATACTAAATAAATACTTCACACATGTTCCTTTTACGTCATATACCAACAAAATAACAAGGTTAATGAAGTTGAAGCTTATTCATTATGCTTTTAATGACCAATCACAGTGAAGATTCACAATAAACAGAAAGCAGGCAGGCCTTACTTTCTCTGGCGGTAGTAAGTGTCGATATCTGCCAATACCATGTGTTGGTTGTGAACGGTAATGTCTGGTGGTGCTCTGCTTCAGGACATCTGTTAGAAGAAACAATCATTTATAATCCTTGATAAACTTATCCTCACTGTGTATCATGTTCCCTACACTCCAAATCAAACAAGAATATATACATACATAGAAATGCAATAAAGGCGACATGTGTTAACACTATGAAAGGACAGAGTTTTAATGTAGCAAGGTCTAAGGTCTTCATGTTGTTACAATAATCATGCAATAAGTTAGAGCTTACTTATATTCATAACTGGGTTTGGGTAAGCAGAAAATCTCGTGAAGCGGATTAGTGTCTAAAAACACTGCCTTCCTGCAGTGTATACAGTCATTATTTTCACATTGCCAAATAAAAATAAAAAAATCATCTGTTGTACATATTGATGGATATTTTTTTCCCTCTTAAGACTATACTCATCTTAAATTGGTGGAATCTCGCTTAATAAAAATATTAATAAAAAAAAAAAAAAAATCTGACACAGCTACATAACAAATGTTTATTTTATTATTAAGGATCACTCCGTGCACCATTTGCATTATTAAAACACGGCACTAAGAGTCCCTTATAACTTCAGAAATGTTTAAAAGTTACTTCTCTACCTGCAGTTGTCACTCAAGCAGTGGTAATCCTGTCTCCCGTTGGGCTGCCTATATCAATTTTGTGTTTTAATCACTAGACTGCGTATAACAGAATAGCACATAGGAGCTGCTATCAGTATATATGTGGGTAAATCCTCCTATAACATTATGGTTATATTTATAACCAAACAAACTGGATTGCTTGCAGCTCTACTTGGTATGTAAAACGAAGTCTCCCCTCCCAACATGTGGCTCCTTTTGCTCAATTTTAAACCCTCATTTATTTTTTTTTTTTTTTTTTTTTTTTTATTCTTTATTTTTGATGTGCTTTTGAAAGAATACAGGTATGCTCACAATGTCACAACAACATTAGTAAGCGGTCAGTGTGAAACACGATAACAAGCATTGGTATGACATTTGCAGAAACAGCACTTTTTTTTTTTGGAGAGGGTAAAACACGCTAGGTTTAGGCTAGGCAGTCATGTCTCAGTTGGTATATATCATCATTATTGTCTAGAAGAACGTAGCAGGACATTCGATTTAAGCTTACAACAAGTACTGTTAGGAGTGCACATATGAGGTATGGGAGTCTGCTAAATAGTAAACTTGGGTGGCATGGCCGGCTAGGCATGCTAAGATTAGTGTCGCCAAGGCTGACAGCGTAAAGTGTATGCTGTGCTAGCTGATAAACGTTGACATGCTATACAATGATGTGCTACCTCTGTGCAGGGCTAAGTTGCAGTGTCGAGTAATTAGACATTTACAATATACAATGGTGAGTGCTGTATATGTTACTATGTGAATTTAGCTGAGAGCACAGATTTTCATTACTAAGACATGAAAGATGCCCATTAATATGCTTTGATGCCCGTTCTAACAACCACAAATTAATGTAATCAAGATAGTGACCAGTTCAGCTTAAGTGAAGAAACGAAAGAACACCACTGGAGTCTCATTGGGAAAGCCACGCTGCTGGAGACGGTATGTTGTCAGGCTTGCCAGATCGCCTGGATGTGTAATGGTCCTGCCGCCGATCTGTGTATAGTGTGATCTGGATCTTGATGTGAGGGTGAGACCTGTAGATGCCACTCTGCGCCGTCTGAGCGGACCGCTTGCAACCTCGGTTCCGGTACAATTAATGGCCGGCAACGTGATTCCTGGCCCGTGTGTTCCATCCAGGAGTAGGGCTGCGGGTCAAGGAATGTTCTTTAGGCGCTCAAAGCCCAGGAAGGCCGTCGTGGGTACCAGGCCCAGGCTCTGTGCACGGAGGCTAGGTAAGTTGAGATTGCTCTGTCTGGTAGTGAAAGAACACTGCCATAATCCAGGGATGCAAACTGTAATGGCTCTGTTTCTGATGCAGCCTGCTAGCAGTGAGTGTTATCACGCCTGGTGTGGGCTCTGAGGCTTCCATGTTGGTGGCATAGCACATGGTCCCTGGTGCCAAGCACTCCCCACTGATGTGTGTAGCAGGGCCTCGGTTCCCTCCAGTGGGGACCGGGATAACCCCCCCGGCCCAAGGGGGGGGGACGGGGGCCTGCGAGGCGTATCACAGGGCTTTAGTGTGGCAGTCAGGATTGCAAGCGGGGCAGCGGCCGTCCACCCCACTCCTGTCCTGAGTAGGCCGCAGGCTCCAAAGTTTTGTACCGCCGGGGCCCCAAAACTCCCGATCTCGGAGTCTGCGGTGGCGCCATCCTCCCCCTGCGCACATTAACGGGCTATTCCGTCTGATTCCGGGCAGTAAGTGTAGTATTTCTGCCATTTAGCTGGAAATCAGCAAGAGCCTCTGTGCAATGCGACCGGTCAGCATGGCGGTCAGGCCCCGCCCCCATAATTCATTTTTTAATGACAATTTTAGATAAGAATGCTTACCAGAACCACTATGCTGAAACTGCCAGCATGCTGTAAATCTAAAAGAAAAAAAAGAAAAACCACACACAGGAAATCATATGTATGTCCATTATTGATTCAAATAAGACAAATAGTCTTGTTATGAGTAAAATCACCAAAACAATAGAAACTTTTTGTGACAGATTCATCTGTAAGACTAATATTGCTGGTTCGTCTAGTTTGCCTCCCCTTCGTGGAATTGCCTGTCCGTATACCCCTATTCGTCTGTTTGAACTTTTACCGAATGAATTACTTCTCAATTATTTCCAGGGCAGAGGGGAGGAAACCAGAATGCATTATGGGAATATTTTGTGCCTGTATGTCTGTCTGTAATTACAGTCTCCCATTTGGTCCCCTAGGGGAGTGTCCACCAAGTGGGAGACCTGCATAAATACGGGCGGGTAGCCCACAGTAAAGCCAGTTCTTGTTTTACCCTCAATGCGGAGCTTGGTCTCGTTATTGGGGGGGGGGATTTACTACACACGGTTAGCGACTGATTGCTGGAAACGTAAGCCGCTTGGAGAATATATTGGTTCGGCTGTTAGCCGCGATTCGTGGATTTATTGTTCGGGAGTTTGGAGCAGCCGTACGGGTCCCTTTCGGGAGATTGGCGCATTCCCCTGGTAGCAGTTCGTACGGTTGAAGTCTACACGAATTGAGCAAGGGGAAGCTTAACTAAATGGCAATTTCACTCCTTTGTGCCAGGGGTGTCTTAACACTTTTTTAAATTGCTGATCTTGTGTGAAAACGTCATTCAATTAGATCAGTGAGAGTCTTTTCGTGACAATTTTTTTACCATTTGTGCCAGAAATACCTACCCAAGACTTTATTTGTGAGGGTTCAGTTCTCCCTTGTCATTCCATAGAAAACAATAATCCCACTTTATCTCAATATTAAACAATTCCACCGGTCTTGGAGACTATGTCTGCTAACGTTTTATTTGATATGTCTTATAGTTTTGTCTCTAATTCAAATATTTTGATTTCCATTATTCTCTACGGGCCTTCTAGTCACTTTTTATTATTGTTTACGGGCATTCCATTATGTCATTACTTTTAGCAGGTCCCCTCCTTATCACCATTATTGTGCAACAGCCCATAAACCATGTCCCACAGATATATATATATATATATATACACACACACTCTCTCTCTCATCCCTCTCACCCCTCCCTCTCTCATCCCCCCCCTCTCTCTCTCTCTCTCTCTCGTCCCCCCCCCTCTCTCTCTCTCTCTCTCTCGTCCCCCCTCTCTCACGGTCCCCCTCTCTCTCTAGATCCCCCTCTCTCTCTCTCTCGTCCCCCCTCTCTCTCTCTCTCTCTCATCCCTCTGCTCCCCCCCCTCTCTCTCATTTCCCCTCTCTCCTCATCCCCCCCTCTCTCTCATCCCCCCCTCTCTCTCTCTCATCCCCCCCTCTCTCTCTCTCATCCCCCCCCTCTCTCCTCCCTCTCTCTCTCTCCATCCCCCCTCTCTCTCATCCCCCTCTCTCCTCCTCTCTCTCTCTCATCCCCCTCTCTCTCATCCCCCCCTCTCTCCTCCCTCTCTCTCTCTCATCCCCCCTCTCTCTCATCCCCTCTCTCCCTCCCTCTCTCTCTCCCCCCTCTCTCTCATCCTCCTCTCTCCCTCTCATCCCCCCTCTCTCTCATCTCCCTCTCTCTCTCATCTCCCCTCTCTCCTCTTACCCCCCCCCTCTCACCCTCTCTCACCCCCTCTCTCTCTCTTCCATGTGACTACCATACTGACAGCCACACTGGCCACCCCTGCCCCCCAGCACTGTCACACTGTTACCTGCACACAGACAGGGTCTGCCTTATAAACGCCTGGCTTCTGACTGGCAGCATCTGAAACAGCACAATAAATCATATTAAGTTGCACACAGTGATAATAAACTGCATTTCTTCCACTACCCTGCCCAATGTCACCCACCTTCACACTGCACAGGGGACTGGCAAGCCAATGGACCAGGTGTCCGTCCCCTAATTCATTCCCCCACCACCATGAGCTCCTGCACGAAGGTTCCGCCCAGCACACACTGACTGCTAGCTCAGCATGTAGTAAGATAAACTGATTATCACAGGGAACAGGTTAACTAGACAGGGGTTGTGCAAGGAATAGTTTATTAGGCAGCAGGTTTACTCTACTGACATGTTTATATAGTCCACAAACACTTCTATAACTTAAAAACACATTTTTTGTTAATTCTTGGCAGGTGAAACTTGCATTGTTACTGTTAAGTAGAAACTATTTTTTTTATAGTTTTGTGAAAATATTTCTCATAGAGGATGAACAAAATGTTAAATTGTGTAACATCTTAATTGTGAATTATTTAATATTAATAATTATATCTAAAAAAAAAAAATACTTTTATCAGTGGTTGTTTCTTTACTGTGAATTTAAATTCAAACTGTAAAACATCTTACATCACACTTAAAAGTTTGTACATTTTTGAAACATTGTATTAATATGTGTGACAGAACCATCTGTCTGCTTGGATTTTAGTTGCATTCGTCTGTTTGTCTCCCGTTCGTATGAATGGCTGGTTTCTATAGACCAGCCATTCGAATGACTCTTTTTCCCGAACAAACCTGCCGAATGGACGGCCACCCAGGAGAGAAGTGTGCTGCTGGTTAACCTATTGATCCCAATTAGAACGTTGTGGTTAACCGCAGACACTTCTCAATTAAACCGAATTCAGGGTAGTCGTCGTTCGTATGTCGACCACGAGGCAGCGGCCATTTTAAACCAAGCGAAAGCCCAGCGGTGTTTGGCTCTATTTCTATGGAACTAAAAACGGACACTTTTTCTGCCGAACACCGCTGAAACAACGGAACGCCTGGCTGCCTCCACGAAAGCATACGAACACCGGCCGTTCGGGAGATTTGGAGCATACGAAACTATGTGATTGAACTATGTGTGTGGGATCTGAGCGCTATTCGCTAATAATATGCACTCAGATCCAGGCTATCTGGGGATATGTGATACGAATGGGAAATGTTCGGTTTTTGTGAAGTTATATATTTTTATGTCTTTTGTGATTTTATATTCAAGATGGCGACTGGCTTTGTCCTGGAGTTAATTGAGTTACTTGGTAATTAACTCCAGGGCAGAGGGGAGGGAATCATAATGCACTGTGGGTAAAATCTGTGACTGTGTGTCTGGAATGTCCCCATATCTGTCTGTCATTTAAGTCTCCCATTTGGTCCCCTAGGGGTGTGTCCACCAAGTGGGAGACCTGCATAAATACGGGCAGGTAGCCCACAGTAAACCCAGATCCTGTTTGACCCTCAATGCGGAGCTTCTGTCTCGTTATTGGGGGGATTTCTTCTTCACGTTTAGAGACTGCTGGATGGAACGGAAGCCGCTTGGTGAATATTGTTGTTCGACGGCTAGCAGCAGTTCGTGTATTGCCGTTCGGGAGTTTGGAGCCGTTCACGGATCTCGGTCGGGAGATTGCCGCTTCCCCTGCATTTGTTCGTATACTACAGATTAAGCGAACGGAGACTGTTACTGCAGACGGGGAAGGTCTACTAAACGGCGGTTTTGCCTAAAGACACTGGAGGTGTCTTAACAATATTGTTTTAGAATCCATTCTGGATCAATTAATATTTAGGGTCTATTGCACCCAGGGCAATCTCAATTAGTTTCAGGAGTAATTAATGGCAATCTGTCCATTCACTCAAATGCACCAATATGTGTCCATTCAATCAGATAATCTGTCCATCTCAAACATTCCAAGTGTCTCAAAGCTCCGAAGTGTCCCTTTTTAAAAAAAAAAATTTGACAATTTTTGTTTTGTCACAAACAGTTGAGGGTACAGAAGAGAAAGGGGGTGTAAGGCTTCATAGTGCGCATATCAAACATAGCTTGCCTATACCTTGGGTACATTTGTTTCCAAGTGTCCCTATTTAAGAGGAATCAATTTCAATATCAATTTCATTTTGAATGTTACTATATATGTCATCCAGCCAACCTATCACCCCTTGGAATCTTCCATCACAGTCTGCTCACTATCTCCTCCAATAACCTGCTAGATTGTTAGCTCACAAGAGCAGTGATATAATCCTTCAGAGCCAATATTCATATATGCATTTGATATGTAGTATTCCATGGGATGTTTCACCGGTCTTTAGCTTGCTTTTTATAGCTGTTACTTTGTACAGCCATACAGTGGTTGGTAGTTAATAAAAAAAGATTAGTAAATATATTATTATTAATGTGATAACGCAGTTTATATATTTAATGTTCTTTATATAAAGCAATGAAATGGACTTGGAAATGTCAATATTTTTAGATGGAAGGCATTGAAATTATTGACACATGCTAGCAGTAAACAGTGCATTGTAAGATCAGCATTGTAATTTAACACGAGAACATTTAGAATGTGCATATGAATGTGTGGATGGTGGATCTGCTGGGGTCAAATATAACACCATGCCAAACCATTTTTTGGTTTGGCACATTGTATACTTAGAAACAAAATCGCCATATTTAAAGCGGCTCTGTCACTCCATACTTAGCTTTTCCCAATCGCTTCCTCTTCTTTTCCTCTTTCCTACTATGTCTTTCTTTTTTTTTCCATCTATTTCAAACTAAAAATATAAGACAAGTAAGGACTAATTTGTCTTGTGTATTTTTCCTACACCTGACTTTCTTAATCACTAGGCAGAGCTATCCCCATCTAGAAGTGTCTGTCACCCCAGCCGTCACCAGTGATGGAGGCAAGGAATTGCCTCTGTATATGGAGGATGCCGTGGTCTTGCGGGATGCTCCATAGACCTCAATGCAGTACTCTCGTTCATGCGCAAAAGTACAGCAGTAACGTCAGTTCCTGGCACAAAAACGCCAGGAGCTGAAGAGGACTCGCTGGAAAAAGATAGCGGTGTCTGCAAGGGACAGGTTTCAGGTAAGTAAAACTCACCTTTCTCTGCCCCTCAACAGCAACAGCCACCAAACCCCCGGTGATGATGTCACCGTTGGGGATCTTGGCAAATTCTGCAAAGTTCCCAGACGGTGACAGTGACGCTTTAATAAGAACAAGTTTGATTAGTCACATACATCACAAATTTGGGAGAATATTTTAGGAATTCAAAAAAGTTAAAAAATTTAAAAAAAAAGCATAGGTGACAGCACTGGGGATTTCAGAAGTACCATCTGAGCCTGGACACGTTATATGCAGGTTCAGTTACATCATACCAGGTAATGCCCAAGTTGAATGTCTGTGTGATGTCATGGCTGTCTTTGCTTATAAAATAGCCATCTCTTTTCATGGGAAGACTCTCTGCTCCATTGCAGAATGTTTTGCGTCCTGATGACGAATATCGGAATAACTGAAGGATATATACTGGAAATAGATCCTGCTGTCAGTATTATCCTCAATAGGTTAAAGGGCGGAGCGGAGGAGCAGGGGTTAATCCAATGGATCTCCGCTGGGAACAAAGATTCAGCATACAAAATCACAGGAACACAGCATAATCCACCTCCCCAAGGATTAGACGACACATAGTCTGGGAGTCAACTGTCAGCTTTATTCACATGTCTGCTTTTATGCATTTCTCCCATGCAAGGGAGGCAACTTTCATAATTAGTACAGTAGCCAATCCTAACATGGTCACCTCCCATCCCTCTCCTCCCCTTAGATTAGCACTTAGATTAGTGGGGACAGAGTTTTCCCCACTTTCTGGATGTGGCCTAAATACAGGGGGTACAGGGACAAATAAGGGGTCCCCTGGTAGATCCGATCTGGGTGAGCAACATACTTGAAATTCACCCAGATCGGACCAGGGGTTCGGGAGTTACAGACAGTTAAAGTTTTGACCGACCGCAGGGACTCAGTAGCCGAAAACAGTTCCATGAATTCTGGCCCTGCGGTCGGTCTATTTCAGTGAATTAAAAATACCGAACAGCCTAGCCATCCATGCGATTGCAAGCCTTCGTATGAATCCCCTCATTTAGGGGAACCTATCTACCGAACGCGGGGGCGTTCGTGTGTTTGATTCGTGCTGTCGGAGCATGCTGGAGGTCTCAGCGGTACTTGGTTAGTCGAATGCCCGGTTTGAGTTCCAGGCGTTCGACAACCAAGTACCGCTGTTCGTGCGCAAGATGGCCGTCGCCACGTGTTCGGTAGGCGAAATGGCGGCCACACATACAGGTACTTAATCCCCTCGCAACATTGTATCATTCAGCCTAATTGGAAACACACGACCACCCGGGGTGGTCCTTCGTTCTGTAGTTTCAGCCATTCGCCTAAAAACAGTAATATAACAGGAAAGTCCATTCGGGTAGTTATTCCCTTGGTGAAAGTCACTTATTCACATGAAATGATTAGTTCCAGTGGCAGGGTTTGCCACAGTTACTTTAAGCACCATGACCACTTCAGTGATTTTAAGTGGTCATGGTGCTTTAAGTCTGTTTGTGCAGTGTTCTCTATGAAACACTGCACACACAAAGTTTAACTCCTCTGCTACCAGCCGCGTCACTGGAGCGTCATTAACCAGCCTGGAACAAGAGTTGCAAGTGGCTAATGTAAATCATGTCATATTTGGCATCTGACAGCCAATGGCGACACCCCCTCTCTGTGCCACCCATGTCCTCCTCTTAGTCGCCCCCTGGCAAGGGAGAGTGACTTCAGCTGTAGAGGATAGGGGTGCCTTGACAACTTGACCTCGATGCTGAATTGAGGTGAAATTGACCTTTGTTTTTTTTAAATTTATTTATATTTTTAGTGGCAGACCAACACAGCACAGTTACTTTAACCAAAACCAGTATCTAATGAAAATACTTTTTTTTTCTGGTTGGAGTAACACTTTAAGGTAATTAGTAACTATGCGATCGAAATGTCTCAGAATCTGAGACATTGTCCAAGTGTTTAGTGCAGCCGTGAGGTCAGATTTAACCCCTTAAGGACACATGACGTTAATATTCCATCATGATTCCCTTTTATTCCAGAAGTTGTGTCCTTAAGGGGTTAAAGTCCCTGACACAATGAGGGAAACACTGAAAAATCCCTGCTATTCTTGCAAAGTA